GTTAGTAAGATAGTATTGAGGCGTGTAATGAGACGTAAACATGTCCATCCCATTGTAAGATTAACTTTATAAGCCACCTGTGGAAGAAGATACAGAGCTGATGAGAGTTCAGGAAGAGGGTTAATGTGGAAGAAACAAACCAAGAAAGGGAAACGCCGACAATGGTGGTGGACGATGTACTTTACAAACGAAAAGAAACAATACCTGAATGAATTTGAAATAATATTAATGATCAAACAGCGCAGGTAACCGTGCAGCTTCTCAAACCCGTTGAGTCTGCAGGCTTCCAAAGACAATCCAAAAAGAAGAAATAATAAAACAATCATACAACAAGACTACAACCCTTGGTTTTACTAGAATAAGAACAAACATAAATAATAAAAATAATAAAGACACTTCTGTGGGGAAAGCAAATACAGCCTGTATTTACATTAGTAGAAAGAATTTGATCACCACACAGTTGTCCGAAATTGCGCTGCTGTGGCAGCAGATAACAATCTGGTCAAGATCATCATCAGTAAGGAAATAACGAGAGCTTGATTGTCTTGAAAGACATCGAGTCCAGTTGTCCTCGAGGCCTGGTAATGAAACCCCCTTTAAACACCTACTTAATCATAATAATGCAACGTACCAAAGTAAACCAACATGTTAGTGTCAGTAATGAACATCTTTGAAAGTATTTTAACGTTATTAAGAAGAAATGGCAGATTAACACCAGCTTCTCACACGAGAGATCATTTATTTAATGCAAAGGGGGAGAAATATATTGAGTGAAGCACAATAATCCACAACAGACTTCAGAATTTTAGAGACATAGATATACCAAAGCTTCATTAGCAATTTATTTTAAGATCAACACTTCATCATGCAAGGGTAATCAATCAACATGAGGAGAATTGAACATCAAAAAATGCCGTGTTGCTGCCTGTCTTAGCTGGGTGAATGCCAAATAAAGTAATCTAACTTATTGTAAAGTAAAGACCAACAATTAGAAAATTGATTGAAATGATACCACTGCGTGTGGGGAAATCGTCTTCGAAACGCGTCCTTTTCAAGTGGTCCCCTTGCGGAAACAGGGCATTGATTGCTTGAAGAATGAAAGAACGAGAGAAATTGTGCCACAATCAACACGCCCAGATTTTTCAACCACCGCTTCAGAACCAATCTGACTTATTAACTCAAACCGACGTCACAGTGGACCATTATCACCCACGCATTCTACTTCGATGAGAACAACCTTTCACCCAGTTATTTGATAAAGAATGAGAGAAGGGGTATTTGGTCTCGCACAATATCACATCCGCCGAAACCACTTGTAATCGCTTCGAATCACGATGCACGTCCCGCCATGACTGAAGGAACCAAACCAAACCAGAGAGACAATATTAGTTGTGTGGTAAACAATGTTATATTTACCAACAGGCAAAATGTCAGTAAGCATTTTAATGCTTTGTATGAGTCTTCTAGATTACCGCATTATCTTTTTAAGTATATGTACTTAAGGATAAGATTAGGATGGTTGGTTTTATCTATTGGGGAAAAATTGAGAAAGTGTAAAAATGTATGTTTATGGACCTGATTTCCTTTATTACTTAAAAATAGAATTTTAAGTTTATACCTTGGTTTCAGTGTAAAATTAGGACAAAATTTGCGATATAAAAGTATGAAGACATGGTCACCTGCACTTTATTCTTTGGTAGATGTGTTTCTTTTATTTTAGTATGTGCTGATATTTACATATGGTTACTAATTAATACTTAGATTATGTGATTGAGCTGTTTCTAACACTGTGTTAATAAAGCTGTGTCTTTCTTTGTTGTATCCTTTTTTCAGTAATAGCCAGTGTTAGAAGGATGGACTGATAGACATGAAAGCTACGATCCCAGCATAGCAATGCTGGTTGAGGTTACTCAGTAGCATCAGACTTGTAATGGTTGAGATCATCTTATTGGGAAAAATAGGCTGACCTTGCTCACTTTTCTAACACCATTTAAAAGTATCTGCTAAAGGAATTGGAAAGAAACTCATTTACAGAATTAATTTTGGAAGCTTTGTTTCCTTCTTTAAGCTTTTTTTTTAGCTGTGGAACCTTGTCCAAAATGGAGCCTGTGGGAAAGTTCACTATGTGAAATAGATAAAAGGTGTTGAGGGGTTTGGGACCACAGGATCACCATGTTCTGAATACTCATAGAGTCTGGGGAAATCAGTTTGAAAATCATTCTATGAATTCTCTTCTTGTGGATAATTCAGAGAATTATTTCATTCTAAAACCATCTTTTATTAACTTCCTTACATATTTTTTGTTGCCGCTACCATCATCCAGAAAGGGGGCTGGTTCCTGAAATGTGAACTGATGTAATTAGCCTTATGTGGAATTTGTTGAATAAACTTGCTGTCAAAATGAAGTCTGTTCCAATATTGAATAAAGTGAGGTTTAAAATTATGTATATGTCTTTATTAAGGTAAATTGAGTGTTTTTGTGTGGTTGTAAATCAGATTGATTAGAATTGACCTTAGGTAAGAGCTATGGAACTGCTATGGTAGATTTAATTCCATAAGACTCATGTCTGCTTTGTTAATTTTTTTTTAGACAGAGTCTCACTCTTGTCGCCCAGGCTGGAGTACAGTAGCACAATATTGACTCACTGCAACCTCTGCCTCCTGGGTTCAAGCAATTCTCCTCCTGCCTCAGCCTCCCAGCTGGGATTACAGGCGCGCCCATGCCTGGCTAATTTTATTAGAGACGGTTTCTGCTGTTGGCCAGGCCAGTCTCGAACTTGACCTCAGGTGATCCACCTGCCTCAGCCTCCCAAAGTGCTGGGATTATGTGTGAGCCATTGCGCCTGGCCTGCTTTGTTAATTTTTTTCAGCAGAGTAATGTCAAAATCATACTTTTACAGAGTCTTGTGAAGGCAGAAGCATTTTAGCAACTTGGAAACTATGGAATTTCAGAGAAGGACTTTGGCTGCTGCTTTTAAGTAGCTATTTTAAATGTAGTTTTATTTTTTCTACTTGGAGGGAAATTCAGACTGTGAGATTAAAAAGATGAATTGGAGCCATAGTAATCCTTCAGATCTCAACTATTAAAGTACTATTAAGATAATCATTTTCTGTCATTTGTAAATAGAGTTTAAAAATTATTTTTCAGAGACTTTACATGAAAGGATTAACACTGAACTGTTTAGGAAAAAGAAGAAGCTATGAATTTGTTCGTAAAGTGACTTTGTAGAATGATGTCAAGAGTCATGTCTTATCCTTTAAGTGTGTAGTTAAATAGTTTGTTTTAACTAGTTTTTTCTTAATTCAAATTAAATTTGTACTATGAAAATTCCAATTGTACATAGAAGAGAGAATTTAATGAACTCTGTGTATCCATTACTCAACTATAATCATTATCAACATTTGTAACATTAGTATTTCGCTTTGCTTGTGCCTTCCTTCCAATATTAGTTTCATTTGTTCTCTACCTGTGTTTATTTATTGAGTGATTTTAAAGGAAATCTTTATAAAATGTGTTTACTTCTGTTGTGCTTAGTGTTGAGAAAAAAGTTACTTTGATAATTGTATGTGACTTGAAACCCATTTTTTTCTTAAACATAATTAACTGGATGATACTTTCCTATTACTCCAAATACTGACTTTTAGTTAATCGTATGCTAAAATTTGTGTGTCTTAAACTTTCTTCTAGACATTTTAGAAGAAAACTTACTTTAAAAAACAGATTTTACTTAATAGTAAGTATGATATTGGTTCTTTAGCTTGGTTTCTGTTAACACGGAGACATAGCTGTTACTTAATTTGATCTTTATAATTGTGTTTTTCTTTGGGCAATATCCTTAGTGTGTAAAAAAAAAAAAAAAAATTTTTTTGGTTGGGGAAGGAGTCTTTGTTACTCCAGGCTAGAGCGCAGTGGACATGGATCTTGGCTCACTGCAACCTCTGCCTCCTGGGTTCAAGCAATTCTCCAACCTCAGCCTCCCAAGTAGCTGGGCCTACAGGTGTGCACCACCATGCCCAGCTACTTTTTGTATTTTTAGTAGAGATGGGGTTTCGCCATGTTGGTCAGGCTGGTCTCGAACTCCTGACCTCAGGTGATCCACCCTCCTCGGCCTTCCAAAGTGTCGGGATTACAGGCATGAGCCACCGTGCCTGGCCAAAAGAAATTTTTTTTTTTAAAGGATGGATCATTGAATTTGACTTTCGTTTGTTTTGCTTACCTATATTTTTATCTGCATTTTTTTTTCACATATTGCCTTTGCATTTTAATTTGTTACATTTAATTCACTTAGCCACGTACTGGTATTGAACACAAATAATCTCAGTAGTGTTTTCACATATTTAGCTTAGGGTTTTCTCAAATTACTAAATACTTATTTCTTTATCCCAGTGCTTACCCCAGAGTGAAGAGAAGGGCATGTAAGTATGATAGTTTTGTGGGGCTTCTGACTCCAACATATGCTAAGACTTTAATTTATAAGAAATAAAACTTATTTTTTGTGGCCTTTAATATAAACTAGGAAATTAGGTGATAGTTACACGTTACTTTAGAATTAGTTGACTGTAAATTTGTTTCAAAAGGTAGTTGCAGTTTTTGTATGTATTCTGTTTCAAGACATCATGATGAAGAATAGGTGAATGTTGAGGTTGCTGGGGTAGGAAAGTGATGGGATAGAGGGTAGAAAATGTGAAGAATTTTTGCCAAGAATTCTTTAAGGTTACTTAAAATATTACAGAAAATTTCAAACATGTACACAAGCAGAGAGAACAGAATAATGACCCCCTCCCCATGTGGCCATTACCCAGCTTCAACAATTTGACAATTATCAACCAAGCCTGATCTGGTTTCCTCTTTAACTTCCCCTCACTATTCCCCTTTCCCAGACCCCAGATCATTCTGAAACAAATTCCAGGCAAAATACCATTTTCTTAAGTTTTATATTAGATATGTAGCATAGTGTATTCTAGTGTCTGTATATGTCTTTGTTTCCTTAACTTAATAGGTTGGCATGTATATGGACTGTTGCAGCGTTCTGATAAGAAATACGATGAAGCTATAAAATGTTACCGAAATGCCCTCAAATTAGATAAAGATAACCTGCAAATTTTGAGGGATCTCTCACTGTTGCAAATCCAAATGAGAGACCTTGAAGGTTACCGAGTAAGTACTTCATTCTTAAATGTACGTGACTTTACAGTAGATATAATTTAAGAGCATGTGAATTCAGAATGAGGTGAGCATAAGCCAAGATCACGTAGATTTGATTGTTCGTTAGAAGGTGTATGTCACTTGGGACCTTCCTCCTCAGTCATAGTTATCGCACTTTTTACTTGAGTATCAAAAAAGGATAACTGGTGGGGTGCGGTGGCACACACCTGTAATCCCAGCAGTTTGGGAGATTGAGGTGGGAGGATCGCTTGAGGTTAGGAGTTAGAAACCGGCCTTAGCAACATAGGCCAGACTCCGTCTCTACAAATAAGAAAATTAGCCGGGCATGGTAGTTCACACCTGCAGTCCCAGCTACCCAGGAGGTTGAGGCAGGAGGATCCCTTGAACCTAAAAGTTGAGACTCCAGTGAGCCATGGTTGTGCCACTGCACTCCAACGTGGACAACAGAGCAAGACTTTTTCTCAAAAAACAAAAACAAAACTGGTTTTTAAAACATTTTTAATTCATTAATTATTTTTTAAAAAGAGACAAGGTCTTGCTATGTTACCCAGGCTAGTCTTGAACTCGTAGGCTCCGGTGATTTTCCCACTTCAGCCTCCCAAAGTGCTGGGATTATAGGCATGAGCCACTATGCCTAGCCATAGCTGTTTAACTGGAATATCTGTGTGCAGCTGCTATACTAGATTATTTGTAGGTTTGATGTTTACAAATTTGGTAAACTAATAGGGCTTTTATAATTGAAACCTAAACATAAAAGTAGCTTTTAAAAATTATTGGTTAGTAGATATTTTAAAAATGTTAGAAGGGTTGCCATAAATCAGTCTTTCTGTAGTTCAGACCTCTTCAGATTTGCATCTTCAACTCTCTCCTGGACATCTCCATGTGCTTATTCCACTTAGTATCATAGAATCACTATGTCCAACATGGAATTCTCTTACTTTCTTATGAGAAGGAGGCCACTAGGTTCTAACAGTTTTCTTTAAATACATTATTTGTACACTTCTTTTGCCCTCTACTGCCATATAAGCCCTCATACCCCATGCCTAGATTTTTTGCAGCCACTTTAAGGGGTCTGCTGAACTTAGTAATAATAATGGCACCACTCTTCGAAGTGTGTATTTTTTTCTTCAGCTGTGCTTAGCAGCTTAGATGCGGTTGGAGTTAAAATCAGTTATCTTTAGGAATGAGGCATAGAAATTAAAAATATTGGCCAAACAATGGTTGCTAAAGTGGATTGTGAAATAAATTAAGTTGAAAGAGAGCTAGGCCTGGTATTATATGTCTTAGTCCTGGCTACTTGAGAGGCTGATGTAGGAGGATCGCTTGAGGTCAGGAGTTTAGTCCAGCCTGGGCAACATAGGGAGACTCTGTCTCTAAAAGAAAAAAAGGAGAGCTGGTGGTGAAAGTGTGAAGGACCCAGGAAGTATAGATTCTGGTGGTGTCAAAGAACAAGGGTAGGAATGTCACCAAATGATAGTGTTGGCAGCATGGGAGCTGTGGGTAGAGAGTGAGATACCTAAATTTATGATTTCTGGGTGGCAGTAACTTGTAGGGTATGGCTGTGGGAGTGGGCCTCTGAATGGAGTGGAGGGGAAAATCATTAAAGATTAGAAAATCTTGGGACTTAGAGGATAGATTGTGGGATGGGTGATACACATTAGTTTTGCATTTGCCCAGGGTAACGCCAAGAGTTGGCAGAGAAAATAATACTGACCTACGCTTTAATAAAGGATTTGGGAATGACAGAGATGCAACAGTAAAAATAAGGGATAGTCAGATGTTTCGGTGTTTCCCCTGGCTGTGTCTGTCCTGTGTCTGGCCAATTATTATGATGTATTTACACTGTAAATACATGTAATTCATATAATAGTTTTATAAGTAGCAAAATGTGGTTTAAAAAAAAACCATCTTAGTCTTCTTACAGAATGTTTAGTTACCAAAAAAAAAAAAAAAAACTCATTATTTAAAGGTAATTTAATAAGGCAGTCCAAAGGCATAGGCCCCAAAGATGTTTCAGTGACAGCCTCACAGTGACTATTACAGGATATTCTAGAACTTTAGTAATTTAGGTAAGAAACATAAAAAGTACTTCTATTTTATGCTGAAACTGATCTTTGTTGATATAGTTCATTAGAAATGTGTTAAAGGTTAGATTGTTTTCTTTAATGAAATAATGAGAATGTTTAGCAAGTTAAAATGTATTTTTTTAGGAGACAAGATACCAGCTTCTTCAGTTGCGCCCCACACAGCGTGCTTCATGGATTGGATATGCTATTGCATACCATTTGCTGAAAGATTATGATATGGCCCTAAAACTGTTGGAAGAATTTAGACAAACTCAGCAAGTAAGAATTTTAACGTTTTCTTCTACCTTCACAAACGGAGTAGTTGACTTCTTAATTGTCCCTGCCCTCAAATGTGACTTGAAGTATTTGAGACCTATGGAAAACTGGAAAACTTTTTTACATAATTGGAAACAGTTAAAATGTAGGATTTTTCTTCTCTCTGTTTTTTTTTTTTTTTTTTTGAGAGACGGGGTGTTGCTATGTTGCCCAGGCTGGTCTCGAACTCCTGGGCTCAAATGATCATCCTGCCTCCCAAAGTACTGGGATTACAGGCGTGAGCCACCACGCCTGCCTCCACGTTTCGGTGGAGAGTATTCTACATGTGGATTCAGCTGCAAGTTGATGGAGATGGTGCGGATTGAGTCACTTCACTTAGAGTTAATCCCCAACCTTGAGTCTCTTTTCCACTCCTCTGTTTATCTGTCATTTCATAATCTTGACCCTGTCTGGAGTTTTCCGGAACAGATAGGCATTCTCCGTGGTAATTTCCTCTTTGTAGATGCTCTAGACTTGGGCTTCTTCCATCCTGTTTCACTTACTCCTTTGCATTCTGTTTTCTAGAAATTTGTTGAAATCTTATATAGTATCTTCTATTTATGGGTTTTTACATTTTTTAATCTGCTATTTTTACTCTCTTAAGGGAAGAAATAAACTGTGTAGTAAGGCCGCCGTCTTTACTTAGGTTTTTAGCTTTTTACCTCACACCAGAGAATTCTTGATTAGAGTGGTTCTTTGTTTTTATCCAAGAATCAAGTTCTGACCGAAAGATAGTACTGTATCACATTTGGTGGACTTGATAAAAAACTTTCCTTTAAACACAAAATTATGACATTTTGATGGTTAAATTTAGGTGCTTGCAATTTCTTTCTTTCTTTCTTTTTTTTTTTTTTTGAGACAGAGTCTTGCTCTGTCGCCCAGGCTAGGGTTCAGTGGCGCAATCTCCACCTCCCAGGTTCAAGCAGTTACCCTGCCTGCCTCAGCCTCCCGAGTAGCTGAGATTACAGGCCTCTGCCACTGGGCCTGGCTAATTTTTGTATTTTTAGTAGAGATGGGGTTTCATCATGTTGGCCGGACTGGTCTCGAACTCCTGACCTCGTGATCCACCTGTCTCGGCCTCCCAAAGTGCTGGGATTACAGGTGTGAGCCACTGTGCCTGGCCAATTTCTATTTTCTTTTCTTTACTTTTTTTTTGAGACAGGGTCTGACTGTGTTGCCAAAGCAGAAGTGCTGTGGCTATGTACTACAGTCTTGAACTCTTAGGCTACGACTAGGACTTGAAATCCTAGCTAGGACTTCTCCAGAGACTGAGGCATGAGGCAGGAGGATCGCTGGGACTACGGGTGTACCACTGTGCCTGGCAACGTTGTTTTTTTAAGACATAATGCTGCTGCATGCTTAATAGACTATAGTATAGTGTTAATAAAACGTTTTTAGTTTAGTTTTTTTTTTGAGACCGAGTTTCACTCTTGTTGCCCAGGCTGGAATGCAGTGGCAAGATCTTAGCTCACTGCAACCTCCACCGCCGGGCTTAAGCGATTCTTCTGCCTCAGCTTCTTGAGTAGCTGGGATTACAGTCATGCGCCACCACGCCAGGCTAATTTTGTATTTTAGTAGAGACGCGGTTTCACCACGTTGGCCAGGTTGGTCTTGAATTCCTGACCTCAGGTAATCCACCCACCTCAGCCTCCCAAAGACCTGGGGTTACAGCCGTGCACCACCGTGCCTGGCCAATGGAACTTACATGCACTGGGAAACCATAAAATTGTGTCACTCACTTCATTGTGGTGGTGTGGAACCAAGCCCACAGTATCTCCAAGGTATACCTGTAATTTTTCATTGATCTTTTATTCTGTGACCTTGCTAAACACTTTTATTAATTCTAGTAGGTTTTTTTTTTTTTTTTTTGTAGATTCTGTAGTATTTCAACCATTTTTATATTTGTATTTAGGATTTGTTGACCTGTATCACTTGCGGGTAGACAGAAGTCCCACCCCATTATTTGTTTTAAATAATGCATTCATTTTTCGTGCTGTTAATCACTCTTCTGTTTGTATCTGCTTATGGGTTGCCTTCTTGTTTGTGTGAATGACTCTCCTGAGAAGGCAGTTTAATTAAAGGTCTGTAACTGCTTTATATAATTATACAAATAAAGTAATTTGGTCATTTTTTTTCAGGTTCCTCCAAACAAAATAGATTATGAGTATAGTGAACTGATACTATACCAGAATCAAGTGATGAGAGAGGCAGATCTATTTCAGGAATCTTTGGAACATATAGAAACATATGAGAAACAAATATGTGATAAACTTTTAGTGGAAGAAATTAAAGGTAAGTTGGCTTCCCTTTTTTTAATGGCCTCAAACAGAAAACAAAAAGCTACATATTTTATTCTCTCCTAAGTCTTACATGACACTTGTTATGTATCTGGCAAGGTTCCAAACACTTTATTATTAAGCCTTTATTAACTAGTTTAATCTTCATAACAACTCTATGTTGTTGTTGTTATATCTATTTTGGAGATGAGGGGAACTGAGGAACTGAGAGATTGACTAACCCCAAGTCATATAGTTTAGTCAACTGGAGAGTGCTGGATTTGAATCCAGATTTCATTCCCTTAAGTGGTATATTATTCTGCCTTCATATTGACTATGTATCTCTGTATATCCATATGTAGTTAATTAAATACAGTGAGAACCATAATTGATGATACTGGGATCATCATGAACACAAAGGTCATTTATTTTCATTATGGGCTAATTATGAAGACAGGATCCCTATAGTTTTAACAGCATTCATCAACAAAGGGTCAAAAAAAATTTTCACAAAGCTTTGCTCATTAGTTCTCTTTACCTGAGCAATATTGTATTAAATTGAATGTCCAGCTAAAATAATAGTTTAGAACTAAAGTTTCATACAGTTGTAGGACCTCTGAAGTCTGAAGCTTAATAAAAATAATAGCTAATATGTATTTTAAAACTCTCCTTCTATTTGAGCATGGTAATTGCTTAAACTGCTTTATTTCATTTAATTTTTTAGCACTTTTAAGATGGATACTATTTATTAACCCCATTTTATAGTGGAAGAGACTGAGGCTTAGAGAGGTAAAGTACTTGCCCAAAGTCATCCAGCTTTTTAAGTGGTAGAGTTATAGTTTCCAAGCACATCAACACATCCTTCTGACTTCAGAGCCCTTACTTTTTTCTAAAAAATAGACATTTTCAGGACAGTTTTAGATTCACAGTAAAATCTAGAAAAAGGTACAGAGAGTTGCCATATATCTCTGTATACCCACAGCCTTTCCCACTGTCATGCTCTGTGGGTTTTGACAAATGTATAATGACATGTATTCACCACTATAGTATTATACAAAGTAGTTTCACTGCCCTAAACATCCTTTGTTTCACCTTTCCATCCCTCGCTCCTGCAAACCCCTGGCAACCACTGATCTTTTTACCCTCTGCATAGTTTTGCCATTTCCAAAATGTCATATAGTTGCAATAATACAGTATGTAGCCTTTTCAGATTGGTTTTATTTTTGCCAGATCATTTTTTGCCTGAGAAAGATTGGCTTCTTTCACTTAGTAATATATGTTCTTTTTCCTATGCCCATTTCATGAGCTTCTTTCTTTTAACCAATATACTCCTTCTGGTTAATGTATAGCACGTGAGTGATTTAGTTTTTATTGTAATTAATATTAATACCAATATTAATGACACTTTTAAAAGTTATTGATAAAATATGGGTAAATAATTAAATATTCTGGTTTCTATCTTGTTCCATTACTTATTGATGGGAGCAAAGAGGAAAAAAGGCAATTATTTTTCCTTTCTGAAATATTATTGTCGCTTCGTGATTAAATCTTAACTCCCTTGGGTTGCTGTTTCTCTTTCTTGATATTTGTCGTGTAGCATCAATAGGAAATGCATTCAATATCATCCATAAGTTAGATTATTTAATCTTAAAAAAAACTAGGGAATGCAGTTAAGTTAGATTATTTAATCTTAAAAATAAAAACAAATAGGGAATGTAGTTTTTGAAAAGTAAATATGGTACAGTGAAATTAATTCAAGTTAGTATAGGCCGTGAATGGTGGTTCACACCTATAATCACAACACTGGGAGGCTGAGGCGGGAGGATTGCTTGAGGTGCAGGATTTCAAGACCAGCCTGGGCAACATAGTGAGACTCCATCTCTACAAAAAATTAAAAAATTATCTGAGGCCGGGCGCGGTGGCTCAAGCCTGTAATCCCAGCACTTTGGGAGGCCAAGACAGGCGAATCAGGAGGTCAGGAGATCGAGACCATCCTGGCTAACACAGTGAAACCCCGTCTCTACTAAAAAATGCAAAAAAAAAAACTAGCCGGGCGAGGTGGTGGGCGCCTGTAGTCCCAGCTACTTGGGAGGCTGAGGCAGGAGAATGGCATAAACCCCGGAGGCGGAGCTTGCAGTGAGCTGAGATCCAGCCACTGCACTCCAGCCTGGGCAACAGAGCGAGACTCCGTCTCAAACAAACAAACAAAAAAATTATCTGGGTGTGGTGGTTCATGCCTGTGGTCCCAGCTATTTGGGAGACTGAGAAGGGAGGATTGCTTGAGCCTGGGAGGTTGAGGCAGCAGTGAGCTGTGATTGTGCCACTAGCACTTCAGCCTGGATGACAGAGCAAGACCTTGTCTCAAAAAACAAAAATAAATCTGCGGATTGCCTATAGTCACATTTATCCTTATATTGCTAGTGAGGGTAATTTGGGGGCCATTAATTTGAATACATAGCTCATGCTTTGTATTATCTACAGAGACAGATCATGGTATTATTTTTAGATTTTCACTGCACTTTGCAGGTCCAGAGACCTTTGATATTCACACGGTTTTCTTTGTGGTCATTAACTTTTTACGATCCTTTAAAAAGCTTTAAAAGTTGAGATTTCTGCTTATGTATGAGTATGTAGGGGGGTGTGTGTGTGTGTGTGTGTGTATATATATTTGTCCTATGCATTCCTTTGCTTCATGGTAGTAGCAAATAACAGATGTTTTTTGAAAATGAAAAATATGCTGTTGTCTTATTCTATCTGGGATAAGCAGGGTAACAATTGGCCAGAAGATAATCGTGGAGGAATTGGGCATATTTAAAGTTTTCAGTAGCAGATATTTATTTGTATTCATTATGTGACAGGCAGTGTGCTAACTACCCACTTTTCTCCCCATCACAAACCTAGTTAGTGGTGGAGTTGGTAATTATTCCTAGTTCAGTCTAATTGTAGAGTTTGAGTGATATATAAAAATAGTAAAATAATAGTACATAAAACCTGCTATAATATACTGCCTTCTCCAACATGATGAAAGGAGAAATAGTATGACTCGAAGATATTTTAAAGGGTTGTTTGAAATAGATTGTTTGGGGAATGAGTAATCTTGAGGGCAGGAAGCTGAGGTATGTTCTTTTTTGAGACTCTCCCCTTTATCTTGGATTAGGTGTGTTTCCATTGTATTAGAGAGGTCTGGGTCCTCATTCTCCACACCTCCTCCTAATTTGTGTGGCTTGGTAAAAGGATTTGACCTTTTACCGACCCACTCAGCTAACCTTTACATGAACATGGCTTGTGTGGTTTCCAATTATAAAGCAGTGTTTAGTGTTATAATTTCACTGAGTTAAACTTCTCCAGTTTTAGTGATCTTGAAAGGAAACAATGAGAATTGAGTGGAGAATTAATATATGAACTGATAGGAAAGATATATTCAAATCTTGTAGTAGGAAGACAGGAATGTTCCCTAGAATTATTTGCCAGTCTAATTTTGATGTGTTTGTGTGTGTCTTTAGTTATTTCAAAGGGTATGATATGTGTGTAATGCAAAAGTTTTTTTACTAACAAATTAATGTCCTACGTATGTGTTTGGAGTGTAAGAGGGAGCCAAAAATGAAGGTTCACTTCTGAAGGCAAGCTATGCTTAGTTGCATAAACTGCTACACGTCCAAAGGGGAAGCATACAGAGTTCTGTCTTTAACCATCTCTTCATTGATAATGCTTAGTGAAGTCCCTGGGGTCAGATAGATAGGTAATGTTTTAAATGAATATGTCTTTAAACTTAATTTCAGGGGAAATACTGTTGAAATTGGGAAAATTAAAAGAAGCCAGTGAAGTGTTCAAAAACTTGATCGATCGGAATGCAGAAAATTGGTGTTACTATGAAGGCTTGGAAAAAGCTCTACAAATTAGTATGTAATGATGTTTCTCCTTTTTCTCATAACTACTGTTTGAAATATAATAAAATGTAAAGTTGTAATAATACTTGAGAACAAACAATTTTAACATTAGTATTCATTTTTCCATTTAGTAAAATTATAGGTTAAACATGGGAGTGAAAATGAATTCAAATAGTTACACTTAAGTGTAAGTGCTTGCAGATATTTTAGGTTCCTTGATCCTTACCTGTGATGGTGTTGGGAGGTGAGGCAAAAACAAAACAAAGCAAAACCAAAACAAAACAAAAAAATACCAATTTAGAGTAGAGACATGGGAAAGAAAATGAGCATTCCCTTTCTGGGAAGTGTCGTAACTATTTAATATTTTAAAACCATTAGACATTCATTACCCTCAACCTCTAAATAATAATTGGGCCAAACAATTACTGTTGAGGGTGTTTGCTTTGATTTCAAACTAGGCTAATTTGTGTAGAGCAAAATGTTACATATCTTCCTTTGAAATTAGGTAACTTTGACCCTTTTTAGAAATCTAGTGTGAGTCCAAGACTTTTGTAGTTTTTCATAATTAAGTGTTGGTAGGAACTGTTAATATTCCTAAAATCATATTTACTCATGAATAAATGTATTCCTGAAATAATTATGAAACTGGCTCAAAGATGTTGAAACAGCATAATTTTTTTTTTTTTTTTTTTTTTTTTAGAATTTTTAAATTTAAAAAGTTTGGTAAAGCCGGGCGCGGTGGCTCAAGCCTGTAATCCCAGCACTTTGGGAGGCCGAGACGGGCAGATCACGAGGTCAGGAGATCGAGACCATCCTGGCTAACCTCGTGAAACCCCGTCTCTACTAAAAACTACAAAAAACTGGCCGGGCGAGGTGGCGGGCGCCTATGGTCCCAGCTACTCGGGAGGCCGAAGCAGGAGAATGGCGTAAACCCAGCAGGCGGAGCGTGCAGTGAGCGGAGATCCAGCCTCTGCACTCCAGCCTGGGCGACAGAGCGAGACTCCGTCTCAAAAAAAAAAAAAAAAGTTTGGTAAATAGGTAGCTACCCACATTCATTTATAGTAGTATAAGCTACAAGAAAAGTTTAATTGTTGTATCCTCACTAGTATTAATTAATTCAGATGTTCTTTTTATGTTTAAAATTTTACACTGCAAATTGTTAAAAGTTTATTTTCTTAAATATTTTTAAGAAAATGATTAAAATCACAATATTGATTAAAGTAATAATCTGAAGAAAACAGCAAAATTCATATGCATGAAGGTTGAAAACATGGGTTAACTATGATTTTTCTTTAAAGTAGTAACATTACAATTAATAAAAATATTTTAATGTTTTACTAAAATGAATAATATGTTCCATATATCAGGATTCTTGGTTACTATAAAATGTATTGATTACAAAACTAATTACACTACTTTATTGTTTTAGGTAACTTATGACCTTTCCTTCCTCATAGTAAGTTCTGGAGCTTCAACTTGTGACTTTAAGTAGGATATTGAATTTGTTTAGTTTTGTCTTAATTTGATTACATTTATACGGCTTGTTATATCTAGGGTAGTGGAGAATTTTTTTCATACTTGGTGCTTGTCTTTCTCTAAGATGAGGCATGAATATGAGAGTATTTTTAAAATATTTATATGCAGTAGCATTTATGTATTAGTATAAGGGTCTTTAATATTTTGTGAAGTCTCCAAATTACTAACAGAGAGTGAGGGTTTTTTTTTTCCCCTCCACACATATCTTTGGTCTTAAAATCCAACCAAATTGGAGCTCCAGCACATATTATTGGGGGAAGGAATGAGTCTAAACAAGATCACACCTCTTCAAGCATGGTGTTTACAATCTTGATGCTTGATATGAATTTTGAGTGTCAGTACTTATAAACACTACATTCACTACAGAGATACCTTGTCTGCTAGCACCCAGGGTTATTCTTAGGATAGTTATTTTTCTGTGGTTTAGACGACAGAATTTGGATTAAGATCTACTTAAAACATTATAGTTCTACAACAGGTTTGCTTTTTCTTAAAATTCCACTATAAATTATCTTATAGCTTGTAAATCTCTTTTTGTGAATTATACAGGACATTATTTTAGAAAGATAAACTACACCCAGATCCTGTTTGCTTGCATATTGTTGTTTCAGAGTAACAAGTAGTTTATGTATAGATACATCCTTTATGTGATACCATAAAATTAGATGGCTCTTGGGAGGGAAGATACAACTTTCTGTTAGAAGTATAATTTTGTCTTTTGGAAGGATAATGGACTTTCATTGAAGATTTTAAGTGTTAATGTTAACATGGAAGTTTAGTTTATCTTTTTATATTTTAAACATTTGCAATAATAATCCTAAAACTGTTGCTCCTTTGTGCCTAATCAACAGACATTATAGGCTTTTATGGGGATATGTGTAGGTTTCTTTGGTTCAGAGTGTTTATGTAAGCTATGTTACTAGAGATACATTATAAAAAGATTTTCTTTTCCATGAGTTGTATGCTAAAGGAATATAGAGAAGTGCAGCATATCTTGAGTCTGTGATGGCTTGTATATGTGATTTGGGTTGTATTTAGAATCTTGCGATGAAACAAGTTTTGGATTTCTCTGGAGATGAGTTTAAAACAGTGACTTAACTGATTATAGTATTTCGCCACCGCAGAGTTTTACATGTCATTTTTGCCAAAATTGAAAGCAGCTTTAATATTGTTAATGCAATGTTATTTATAACAACATTTTAAAAGTTTGTTAGCATTTTACCATGGATAAAAGTTTTGATGCTATGAATCTCACCCATATTTACTGATAATAGGCACTTTGGAAGAGAGGCTTCAAATTTATGAAGAAATTAGTAAGCAGCACCCCAAAGCAATTACACCCAGAAGATTACCTTTGACTCTTGTCCCAGGTAATATTAGGATGTCTATTATAATACTAATTATTTGCCGAAATTACTTAATGTTAAATTTATATTTTGGAAACATGTTTCTGTTATGGAGTTTATGTCTACAGCAGTCTTGGAGTTGGGAGTGAACAGTTGTGAATTTATTATTTATCTGTTAATAAGAGTGTTATACTTCAATGTGTAGCTAAATGTTGATTTTAATATTTGAAGTTATCTATATAAATATAAAACTGCTTTTCTTAAGTTGATCTCATAGAGGTAGAAAGTAGAATGATAGATACCAGAGCTGGCAAGGGGGGTGTAGGGGGGAGATGAAGAGAGGTTGGTTAATGGGTACAAACATACAGTTAGATAGAAGGAATAAGTTTCAGTGTTTGCAGAGTAAGGGGACTGTAGTTAAGAACAATATATCGTATATTTCAGGATAGCTAAAGAGAGGACTTGAAATGTTCCCAACACATAGAAATGATAAGTAATCAAGGCGATAGATACCCTGAATACCCGGACTTGATCATTACACGTTCTGTGTATGTAACAAGATATCATGTACTGCCTAAGTATGTACAAATATTATGTATTGGTAGAGAAACTGCTTGTCTTATGTGACTTTTAAAAAAGCACCATATTTAGAAGGTAAATTCCTTGTAATTAGTGACAAATTATATGTGGTGTCATGATTTGAGTCGTAAAAGTTTTGAAGGTTTTTTTTTTTTTTGAGTCAAGGTCTTGCCCGGTTACCAGGCTGAAGCTGGAGTGTAGTGGCACAATCACTACAGCCTCAAACCCCTGGGCTCAAGCTATAGTTTTGAAGTTTTATATCTTCTTTTTTGAGCATACATTCAAAGAAATAGTTGAGAGCTATTTGCACCCACCACGGTGTTTTAAGAACAGAATGTCATCATTCCCTTGGTTAGCCACTTTCCTGAGTTTTGCTTTTTATCATGCCATTACTTTTATTTTTAGAGCTCCATGTATTATTCCTGAAAATAAAAACAGCTTTTGTACTGTATATAACTAGGAGTACTCTGGTACGTATTCTGTGATTTGCTTTTATTGTACAATAGGATATTCATGACCTTGAGTTGAGTTATTGTATGTAGCTGAACTCATTTACTTTTGGGCTACATAGGAGGTGGACAGTATATTAGCTCTTCAGGTAGCTAATATCTTTGTTGAGTTTTTTAAAAAGTATATGTTTTTGTTGAAGTCTTTATTTTTAGTTTTAAGTACTAGAGATTATGAATTGTATATTGGGACTTCCGGTATTTTGATACAAGTCAGACTCTACAAAGCTAATATAACTTAAACGTATTCTGGAGAGGTGAGGAGTATATTTTATATTCTCAGAGTGGCAAATATTTGTTTAAATTCTTGGGTTATAAGTTTATTTTTACCAAAAGATTGATGAAAATTAAAAATTTTTAGTTGACTGGCTTGTGAAGTATGTGAAATACCCTTTAGAAATGTATTTGATTAGACAGTAGATAGAAGTTGATTTTAAAAATTCATTTTATACTATTGCATTTCAGTTCCACATATGAAGAGTAGCATTCTTCTGATCCTCCATTTTTTTTGTTTTGTTTTTGTAGAATACAGAGAGCAAATTTCTCTAATGTTTTCCAGGGAACATTAAGTCCAAGTGGATATTAATAGGCTTGGTGGGGAGGTTGTTGGTGTGCTTGTGCTTGGCCTGTTCTTCAGCCAAGTAAGTTTGGGAAACTGGGTTAGACACAGCTATCAGGTTTCTATAGGACTTCTCAGAGCTTTTAATATACACTTTGTGAATTTCAAAGATGGGAGTATATGCGTAGTGAGGAGTATTTTCCCTAATAAAAGTGTCTTGTGGAAGATGCTTAAGCTTACATTTCTGTATTTCTTCCTTCTCCTCTTTGTTTTAAAAAATAATAGCTTTTTTGAAATATAATTCATACACCATAAACTTCACTTTTAAAAAGTGTGCAATTCAGTGTTTTAGTATATTAATCATGTTGTGCAACCATCATCTCTGTCTGCTTTCAGAAATTTTTCATGACCCCAAAAAGAAACCCCATACCTATTTCACTCTCTATCACCCCTCAACCATAGTAGCTGGCAACCACCAGTCTACTTTCTGTACCTGTGAATTTGCCTGTTTTTGGACATTTCAAATAAATGGAATCATACCATATGTGGTCTTTAGTGCCTGACTTCTCCTCCTCTTATTGGTCTCAAGGTATATTTTGTGTTTCACAATATATTGTGTGTGGGGGGGAATATTTCCTTGGGAGCTTTAAACTGCATTCATATGCTTCTTGGGAAAGAAAGAAACCTCGCTTAGCTTTAAGATTACGAACAAGACTTCTTTGTTCTCTTTTTCTCATTTGGAACATGGAGCTTCAGATTTGTACTGCCTACATTTATTTCCATAGGCAATGTAAGTTTGCTAAAAGCCCTCAATACGTGGCAGTATAGGGTAGGAAATACATTTTTACTGAAAGAGCCTAGAGTTTTTTTTACTATAAAGTGTGATCTAGGTTAAAGTGGAACCATCCTAGACTCTCTTGGACATGCTGTCTTTGAAATGCCATATAAATCTTTTTACAAAACAGGTCTCAGTGGAGGGGTCTGATGGCATAGGCTTTCAAGGTCATCATCGCTTTGAGATTCTGACATATGTGTATTTACAAGGCTCCAGTGAATATATATAAAATTATGCAAATATTTAATTTTATCTGTGCAAAGCCAAATATTTCATGATTTTTTTGCCTGTCTAGAAATGCTTTCATGATCAATTAGAAAACCATTTTGGCATTATCAAAAGCAGTAAGATCTTCCTCAAGAAAAATGATGCATCTTGAGAATGCAAGGTGAAAGTTTTGATAAAGCCTTTCCATTTTTTAGATAAAAGGGCTTCATACCTCAGAACAATAAGGAAATTTTCTAACACCCGAAAATATTAAGTGCCCTAAAAATAATGAAGGGATAAAGGTACTTTTCAAAATAATTAGTTCAATTCATCATGTTCTATTATGCACTGGCTGAAGGGTAGAGAGAGGGAAGGAAATAATCCAGAGTATTAAACATAGTATACTAATTAAATTTTGCTCCATTATTTAGAATGGATTTCCAGTGAATCAGAAACAGACTATTCTTGCTGTTTACACTAATTATTTTAGGAATTAGTATAAACAGGGACATCATGTTTTGGGGACATCATGCTATGTATCTATCTGAGAATTATTCAGGTAACCTGTTTTGTGAGCAGTAATGCTAAAGAGGCACATAATAATTGATGGAAAAAATGAGATGGATAAATCATAAGTAATTTGGGGATATGGTGTGTGACTAAGCAGTTGGGTAGCTGTGTCGGCTTCTTGTTTAGGTGATAAATTCACACAGTTGCCAATTAGGTAAAAAGTTTATAAGTTCATGAAGTCTTTTTCTTGTCTGTCCCTTGGCAACTAAGTTTACTTCCCCTGCAGACATCCATTGTGATCAGCTGATGGTGTATTCTTCTATAAATACGTTGTGCATGTGTGAGCAAAAATGTGTGTAGGAGATTTGTTTAAGGTCACACCTCCCACCCTGCTTTTTGCAAACATGCGGTAGCATGGATTGACGGATTGCTGCGAACCTGGGTTTTCTTTTCACTTAACTCCGTATTTGGAGATTAGTCCTGGATCAGCACTTAAAGAGCTTCGTCATTTTTTTCATACCTGCACAATCTAATAAATCAGATTTGCCAATGTGATGTGAATAGACTGAGAAAGTTGACCAAGGAGGAGTTCAGAGTAGCTTCTGCCGTGAAGATAAAAGGCTTGTTTTCTCAGCGGTTGATTGCAAGTATAGAAAACAAAATATTAACTCTAAAATATAAAAACTGTCAGATATCAGAGAAGATGAGGCATTTATTGAGTGATTACTATACGGAAGACATTGTTTATTGTTATGTCTTACCTTATTTGAGCCATACAAGTGTACTCTTGAGGCCAGTGATGGTATTGCCTTCATTTTACAGTGATAAAACCGAGGTTTTTAATGGACAAGTTATTTGCCCAAGGTTGCACACAATTAAGTGGAGAAGTCTGCATTCCTCTAAGAAACAGCATCTCTTATTGTCTCTCACAATATTGTTAGCTTTCGTCGTACACCAGAGGAATTACTGGAAAGATGCAGTCTCTGAAACTATTTTTGATTTTTAAAGAAGCAATGGTGTATAATTTAACCCAGGATGAAGTTTTATGTTGTCTTCATAATCTGTGATTTTTCAAAAGACCAGTATTGGCCAGGCGTCGTGACTCACACTTGTAATGCCAGCACTTTGGGAGGCCAATGCAGGTGGATGATGAGGTCAAGAGATCAAGACTATCCTGGCCAACATGGTGAAATCCCGTCTCTACTAAAAATACAAAAATTAGCTGGGCGTGGTGGCACACGCCTGTAGTCTCAGCTACTTGGGAGGCTGAGGCAGGAGAATTGCTTGAACCTGGAAGGTGGAGGTTGCAGTGAGCTGAGACCACACCACTTCACTCCAGCCTGGGTGACAGTGTGAGACTCTGTCTCAAAACAAAAACAAAAACACCCCAGTATTTTGTGTATGATCTAAGAGATTAGAGATTATCTGAATACAGTCTTTATAGTTAATGGAGTTAAATTTTTGTATGACATTTAATTATATTGAGTATGCATGCATGTTTTGTTCAACATGGTCAGTCACAACAAATAAAAATAACCATTTTGAGTTGTTAGATTTTGTTGTGCAGTGTTGTGATTCATTAAGAAATCTTAGGAAGTCATTTCAATCATCCTACTTGAGGCTAAATCGTTCATGACATATATGTGTGTTTTTTGTTCCCAAATGATTAGGTAAATCCATGTCCTTATGTATTAGTCCATACTGTCAAAAAGTTCTTATATCTCTGTATTTAAAATTAAAATTCTTTGAATACTCTCTGCTTTCAAAAGGTGATGACAAAAATCATTTGTAGGGGTTTAGCAATGAAAGAATTATGTACTTCATGTTGCAAACAGATTGTTTATTTTAGTTCTAATGTTAGAATGCCCAGGGCTTAGTCTGATGTCTAACATCAATTTACTTTATTGTTGGCCTGACTCACTGAGATGTTAAGTTCTCTAGGGTAGAATTAATTTTTTTTTTTTTTTTAATTTTAATCACTGCTATATCCCCAATACCTAGAACAGTGCCTGGCATGTAGTAAGTGCTTGACACATTATTGTGGAATGAATGAATGAATGTTGAAGTAAATGACAAATTGATTTGGGAGGACATTTGCAAATACCAACTTAGTGTTTGAAAAGATCTTTTGGCTATCACTTGAATATAGTGCTGGTTACAGTAGTCTGCTGCAGAGTGCTTTTTGCATATCTGCAGGGTTTTGGGCTGTAGACTGAGTGTGCTAGTCAGTGAGAGATTAGGAAAGATATTTGATATTGTGCTAAATTCAGAATGGATAGTTGATAACTTTTACTCTACTTAAAACTGTTTGACTTTTTGGGTTTATAAATTAGATAGGAGCATAATTGTTTCTGAGGGAGCTTTATTTTTACTTAGAAAATCATTTTAAGAATTGTTTGCATGAACCAAAGAATAACAAAGTATGCTTTTGTTTCTAGGTGAAAGATTTAGAGAACTAATGGATAAGTTCCTGAGGGTTAACTTCAGTAAAGGATGCCCACCCTTGTTTACTACTTTGAAATCTTTATATTACAATACAGAAAAGGTAAAATTTAGTATTTATTCAGATTTGCTTTAGTCTTTTTACTAAATTGTAGAAAGATGTCCATGTAAATAATGTGCTATTACTTAAGCATTTTCTCTGTTTTAGTAATGTTACTTTACTTTCAGTGTAATAATGTACTAAAATTATATGCCTGTAGTATAAGTAATACCAAAGTAAGAGGGTTTATGAAAGCACTAAAATTATAAAGGTTGTTTATTTTTAATGGATATACTTCTTTTAGTAGCATTTTAAATTTGACATTGTTACCAAAGGTATATATTTATTCTATGATTATTATTTTATGGTACGATTATGGATTTTTAAATTAGTTATGCATGCGTTTAAAGTTAGAGCTTGAGTAATTGAGTTAGTGCAACAGTAAAATGCAGTTTGGTCAAATTACTGGTGTAAATTACTAGTTTTAATCAGTAGGCTGCATTTTAATAAATACAGATTTAGCTAGTTCTTGAATAAAGAATTGTCTTTCTGCTTTTTAAAATTAGAAAATAGGCCTGTAATCCTAGCATTTTGGGAGGCCGAGGCGGGCAGATCACGAGGTCAGGAGATCAAGACCGTCTATGGTGAAACCCTATCTCTAATAAAAATTTAAAAAATCAGCCTGGCATGGTGGCGGGCGCCTGTAGTCCCACCTACTTGGGAGGCTGAGGCAGGAGAATGCCGGGAACCCGGGAGGTGGAGCTTGCATTGAGCTGAGATCGCACCAGTGCACTCCAGCCCTGGGTGACAGAGTGAGGCTCCGTCTCAAAAAAAAATTTTTTTAGAAAATAGGCACTTAAATCTTGGTCTTAAATTAGAAAGACAATTAAAAGTTAATAGAAAGCAAGTTATACTTTTATTTCCAAGTGTTGCTTCTTACTTTTTAAAGTCTAAAATCTTGTTGTCTTTTCTGTAGTCAGTTTTTTAAAGTTACTAGTGGATAAGGAAAAGATTGTATTAGAAATGCCAAAACAATTTTTAGTTAAGCTTCTTTCATTTTTTATTTATTTAGCTTTGATTCATAATAATTTGTAAATTTGCACTGATTGTGAATAATACAATGTTGGAAATATCAGTTGTAGATATAGCTGATTGGCATTTTCCTACTGGTGGCAGCAGGTTTCATAAACAAAAGAAACAACTGATGATCTCTAGTACCCAATTAGAATAAAATATCATTTATGTTAAAACAAAAACAAAAACAAAACCCTTACGATTCTTTAATGTCTGTTGTATGGTCTATTTGACTGCAGTGTTTCTGCTGTCAGTTTTTTGAGAAATAGTGATTGATTCCTATGTAAACGTGTACCCAGTGCCTGCCAATAATTTCTCTAGATTATTTAACATTGGGTAAAATTATTTTGTTCTTTTTGGTGAGGGTGACAGAGAAGAAAGGTTGGATAAAATGTTAGAAATAAAAAGAAATCTTGTGTATGTGAATTAGAGTACTTCTTTTATAACAGTCCTGCAGCAGCTGCTGACTACAGTGGACATTAAAGGATTTGTTTCTCTTAAGCTATTACAGGGCTTTCACAGGGTGTTGTTCGCAGGCATAGGCTTTTTACTTTTTAAAAATTCTTCCAATATTGATCCAAAGTTGCCATTACAAAAATGTTAAACATTTTTTTGGTATTTTATATAAAGCATGAAAATTATATTTTTGAATAAGGCACTGAGAATACACTAATTCATATAGGAACCGTCTCTTTAGTTTAATTTTAAAGCAAGCAACAGGAATGCTATTAGAAATGCCAGAAGACCAAGTGTGTTTGCAAAATGAATTAAACTGCAGAAAATTGAGCTCAAGTTATCTCAGTTTAGTATAGTGAGAAAAAATTTGCAAGTCTAAGAACTGTTTCTCAAATAATTTTGGCCACATGTATCTGTAATTACTTATGAGAACCTTTTATTTATTTATTTTTTAATATTTATTTTTCAGTTAAATTTTGTAAGTTTTGTGTTTGACTTTTTTGTAGTTTCAAAGAAATTATTTCAGTAGTTTTTGGGGAACAGATGGTGTGTGATTACACAGATAAGTTATTTACTGGTGATTTCTGAGATTTTGGTACACCCATCACCTGAGCAGTGTACACTGCACCCCATGAAACCATTTTAAAAACTGCACATTTCTGATCAGCAGTGAAACCTGTTTTTGGCAGTTAGGTGGATTTTTAACTTTCAAGGAAGGATTTCAAGGAGGTGAAGTCTGATAAACAGTTATTGTTTGTAAGTTTCCAAATATTATAGAGTAATTCATGTTGGTAGCATGAAAATGAAATTGTCTTTTGAAGTTAGTTTAAAATGTAGTACATTTGCAAGAAATGTATTTCTTAAATGTCTCCAGCATTTTAATTTTTTTGACAAACTAGAGTTTGGGTAGAGTGGAAGGCAGTGAGTGATTGTCAGGCAAATTCCATAACTTTTTTTTGTTGTTGTTTTTGCTTTTTTGAGATGGAGTCCCGCTCTGTCACACAGGCTGGAGTGTAGTAGCGCTGTCTTGGCTCACTGCAACCTCTGCCTCCCGGATTCAAACGGTTCTCCTGCTTCAGTCTCCCAAGTAGCTGGGAATACAGGTGCCTGCCACCATGCCCAGCTAATTTTTTGTATTTTTAGTAGAGACAGGGTTTCATGATGTTGACCAGGCTGGTCTTGAACTCTGTCCTTAAGCGATTCACCTACTTTGGCCTCCCAAAGTGTGGGATTACAGGCATGAGCCACTGCGCCCGGCCAAGTTCCATAAGGTTTTTTAAAACATAGGTAGGTATTTGAAATGGCTGTCATTTTACTTTTGTCAATGAGGTTTTGGAGGAATCTTTGGTGAAGAAAAGGAGAAATTTTCATTTTCCCAGCTTTCTTTAATGTTGAAATAAAATCTATAAGTTCTGATATCAAGGTGTTCTTTTCTTTTGTAAATAAGAATAAAATGTTACTAAAAATATATTTATACCCCTTTTAAGTTAGATTTTGTTAAAGTTAATATTGTTTTCTTATTTGTTCGAATATAGATGTCCTGTCCATAACAGATAACTTGCTGAGATGATATACATTTGCTTACTTGTTTTGAAAAGTACTTAAAAAAAATTGCCAGTCTTTGAGTGAGGCTTTGGGGTCTATCAATTTTGTTGATCTTTTCAAAAAAAACCAGCTCCTTGGATTCATTGATTTTTTTTTTGAAGGGTTTTTTGTGTCTGTATCTCCTTCATTTCTGCTCTGATCTTAGTTATTTCTTGCCTTCTGCTAGCTTTTGAATTTGTTTGCCCTCACTTCTCTAATCCTTTTAATTGCGATGTTAGGGTGTCAGTTTTAGATCTTTCCTGCTTTCTCTTGTAGGCATTTAGTGCTATAAATTTCCCTCTACACACTGCTTTAAATGTGTCCCAGAGATTCTGGTACATTTTGTCTTTGTTCTCATTGGTTTCAAAGAACATCTTTATTTCTGCCTTCATTTTGTTATTTACCCAGTAGTCATTCAGGAGCAGGTTGTTCAGTTTCCATGTAGTTGTGCGGTTTTGAGTGAGTTTCTTAATCCTGAGTTCTAATTTGATTGCACTATGGTCTGAGAGACAAGTTTGTTGTGATTCGTGTTCTTTTACATTTGCTGAAGAGTGCTTTACTTCCAATTATGTGGTCAGTTTTAGAATAAGTGCGATGTGGTGCTGAGAAGGGTGTATCTTCAGTTGATTTGGGGTGGAGAGCTCTGTAGATGTCTATTAGGTCTGCTTGGTACAGAGATGAGTTCAAGTCCTGGATATCCTTGTTAACCTATAGAAGATATTTTTTATGTACCTTAAATCTGTTAAGTAGTATTAAACTAAACAAACAATTTAGGTTGCTATATATAGCATAGGGATTCCAGTGTCTGTCATGCCTTACTGAAATAGTATCATTTTTACTGAAGATAATGGTAAGAATATTTCTAACTTAATTTTTTGTGGATGTCATCTTATTGAAAATATCAGTTGTGTATTTATAGGTAATAACCAACTTTAAATGTTCTGGTAATATGTACTGTTTTCTTCTTATGAGTAGTTAAAAGAAAAAGGGGACAACTTGCCAGCCATGGTGGCTTACGCCTGTAATCCAGCACTTTGAGAGGCTGAGGTGGAAGGATCCCGTGAGCCTTGGAGGACAAGGCTGCAGTAAACTGTGATCAGGCCGCTGTACTCCAGCCTATGCGACAGACTTGAGACCCTGTCTCAGGGAAAAAAAAAAAATGAAGAACACCTACTTTTAGAAAATAACTGTTATATACTTGAAGTGCACAGATGTTTTCATCTGTTTTGTATTGTAGTCTCTCACATATTGTATCAGACCAAACTTTTTTTTTTTTTGGAGAGAGAGTCTTGCTCCGTTGCCCAGGCCGGAGTGCAGTGGCGTGCTCTCGGCTCACTGCAACTTCCGCCTCCCAGGTTCAAGCGAGCCTCCTGCCTCAGCCTCCCGAGTAGCTGGGACTACAGGTGCACGCTGCCATGCCTAGCTAATTTTTCATAGTTTAGTAGAGACAGGGTTTCACTGTGTTGCCCAGGCTAGTCTTGAACTCTTGAGCTCAGGCAGTCCACCATCCTTGGCCTCCCTAAGTGCCAGGATTACAGACGTGAACCACTGCGCCCAGCCCAGATCAAACTTTTATTGTGAATAATTGTTTACTGGCTCTATAAAATAGTGTCCATTTCTTCTAAGTGTGAATAAAGAACCTTGCCTAGTAGTATTTTTGATTGGGCCTCAGAATCCTTCTGTTCCAGAGTTGGCATAACAGCAATAATAAAAAATCAAAACTGGAAACGACTAACATAGTATTCACAACATCTGTAGCAGTTTAATGAGAAGACTTTATATGTACCATAGTCTGCTGGTGGTCTGAGTCATAATGCCAACAAATTATTTCTGTAATGCTCATAGATAAGCTGTCCAGTGGCACAGTGAGTCAGATGTTTGACCAGCCGTTTGATATGGTACACAACTAATATGTATTGTGTATTAACTTTTCACATTGATGATATTTA